CAAAGTGCTGGGATTATGGGCATGAGCCACCATGCCCAGCTTATCTTGGTGTTTTTACATCCTTTAGTATTTTTCAAGGTTTTACAGCTTTTTATATGTAGGCTTGTATCATCTTCAAAAGCAATACAGTTTTATTTGTAGATGTGATTTCTTCCACAAAATGTGTAACATTTTATGGAGCTGTAGGACAAAAGTCAGGATGGAAAGTAATCTGTCTCTGGTGCTACTTTAATACCTTCCTGACTGGTGCCAGTGGCTAAATTCAAGCAGTAAGATGACAGGGCCATTAAGGCCTATTTTAGCAAACAAGACATTATAGCAAAGACCTTAACACTCAAAAGGTTCAATGTCTTTTAGCCAGGGAACTATTCTTTAATTCTTCCACCTTGATATGATTTCAACAAATTATGATACCTGATATTATTATTAATGCATTTTTGTAACATTTGACAAACATCTCCCAATATGTAGACTGCCACTCTCCTGATGCTAATCAGTATCAGACAATGAAAGTAAATTTTTCTGCTTTTCTCGGCTTTTACTCAAATTCATTCCTTAAGTTAGTAAAATACTTTCATTTGGCCATCATTATTTATCAACCTTAAGAAACATGCCTATTGACCAAGTAAATATACTAGGAATTCAACTTATCTACAGGAATGTGGACAAAGACTTACATATCAAGACAAGGCACTGGAGTGGAAAGCCATGAAAATAAAATGCTCAGCAGCAAAGGGATTGTAACGGTTAATTTCCATATAGTGGAATATTATAGTCATTAGAAATGACATTCGGGTAAGGGTCTGATTGTGGAAACTGATACACCCTGTCGGAGAGCTACTTAGTATTTATCACAGCTGCATACATACCCTTTCACCCAACAGTTCCACTTCTAGGAATCTAGTCAACAAATGCACAAGTTGCACAACCAAACTATGGTCAGATATGTGTGTTGTAGGACTTACGAAACTGGTACCAATTTAATATTCAAATGGGATTAAGTCATGGCAATCTATTTAATGGATACTTCGTGGTTACCAAAGAGCTATGTGCTGCCACAAGGAGAATCCTTTCAACAGTGATTGAAAAAGGCAGAACACTAGGACAGAACTATGTTTTATGCACGCATTTGCATACACTGAAAAAACTTAGTCACTTAAAATGAGGTTGTACAGATTTTAGATTTTGTTTTTAAAGGCCTGTATGGTTTAAAACATGTTTTGGGAAATAGACATGAGCAGTGAGTAATCGGTGCCAGAAGAGCAGGGCAGAGAACTACAACCTACAGGCCAAACCCCACCCCACTGCCTGTTTGTATGGCCTTCAAGTTAAAAAAATTTTTTTAATGTTTTAGGTGGTTTAAAAAAAAACCACACACTATGCCTATTTGTTTACAAATCGTCTATGGGTGCTTTCTCACTACAATGGCAGAATTCAGTAGTTGAGACAGACCTGTGGCCCACAAAGGCCAAAATATTTACTGTTTTAGAAGAAAACAACATGAATTGCAAGAACTTGGCCCTACTTGGTTGCTCAGTCCTAATGCATCCTGCTAAAACCTAAGGGAAACAGGGCCAAGTTCAATCTAGTGCAACCAACCTATCACATCTAAGCTGCTTTTGCCAGATCTGATATCTACTCCTGACCTTAAGCCAGAAGACTTTGTAAACTTACTAGGTTATAATAAAACTTAAGCACTATCGATATTTACTAATAGATCATGGAACTATTTCAAAAGCCGTCATATGGTGAGATGGATCAGGAGTCTTAAAAAAAAAAAGGAAATATGCTATTCTAGTTGGTAACATGGGGTTAAATCTTTTCTAATTTCTAAAACATTCTGTCCCCATAGATAAGGTGATTGGCAGAAAGAAAAAGTTCCTTAATGATCACTATAAAATGCTCTGCTACAAGGAACTTAAAATCTAAACATTCAGGCAGTAATTATATGTTTCTACAATCCACAAGAAACTGAAAAAAATCATGTGATCAGTAGTAGAGGCACAGCTTGGTATCAAGTCTACGTTCATACACTTAGGAGTGCCACCCAACAGGGCCATACAAGATACATGAAATGAGATCGGCTCAAGGGTGACAAAGATGAAACTGGGAGAGGGCTGGGGAGACCCGAACTCTTAATATTCGGTTCCACACTTAACAGGAAAAATTTTAGTCCAGCTCCCAGCATGGCAGCTAATGGCAAGTTACCCAGTTAGTACCATAAAGCCAACTCTTGGAATAGACCTAATTTCCATGATAAAATGGAGACTAGAGCAGTGGTGAGTGTATAGTTAAGAAAACAAACAACATATTACCAGTCCAGGTGGTAGATTACAGATTTTTATTATTTACACTTCACTCAAATTATTACATTCAGCATGTTTTGCTTTTTATGTTATTTAAAATATAAACCTTCATATAATTCCCTAAGATGGATGTCATACCAAGTAGCTAAATGAAATGCCATCCCAGCCCAAAAGTACTTATTCGAATATTACATTTTTTAATATAAAGCAATAATTTAGGTACCCTATTATGGTATTTTCTTTTTTTGGCCAGCTTTTCTAGATAAGGTTGTATTGCTACTGCAACTAACAAAAAAGATGTGGCGGGGCCAGGCACGGTGGCTCATGCCTGTAACCCCAGCACTTTGTGAGGCCAAGGCGGGCAGATCATGATGTCAGGAGATAGAGACCATCCTGGCCCAACATGGTGAAACCCCATCTCTACTAAAAATACAAAAAATTAGCCGGGCGTGGTGGCAGGTGTCTGTAGTCCCAGCTACTCAAGAGGCTGAGGCAGGAGAATCGCTTGAATGCAGGAGGCAGAGACTGCAGTGAGCTGAGATTGTGCCACTGCACTCCACCCTGAACTAGAGCGAGACTGTCTCAAAAAAAAAAAAAAAAAAGAAAAAAAAAGGGTACTAGAGCAGCCAAAAAAAGGTTCCTGAATCATTTAACAGAAAAATAAAGCCTATTCCTATCATTTCCATGATCCCATTTAGTTCCACTTAGGTCACTGTGTTTATAATGTCTTGTAGGATAGATTTCCTTCCCCATTCTCCACAAAACCACCATAGCACCTGTCACTTTTATCTATTGGTTTGTATTTAATCTTATTTGTAAGTGCTTCTTTGAAATTGTTTTAAAAGTACATTCTTGGTGTAGAGTAAGGTTCTATATACAGTCGGCCCTCCATATCCATGGGTCCACTTCTGTGGATTCAAACCACCAGATAGAAAATATTCCAAAAAACATTGTCTGTAGCCAACATGTATATTTTTGTCATTATTCCTTAAACAATAGTGTAACTATTTACATAGCACTTACATTATAATAGGTATTATAAGTAACCTAAATATTAAAGTATGCGGGAAGATCTGTGTAGATTGTATGCAAATACTGCATCATTTTATTCCAGAGACTTGAGCATCTGTGGATTTGGATATCCAAGGGAAGTCCTAGAACCAGTTCCAGACAAATACCAAGAGATGACTTGACTTTAGACCTAATATCTTGCTAGACAGCCTTTGAGAGGACTAAGGGTAACTAGAGCACAAGCAAATCACAGCAAAGTAGACTACAACAAATCAAAAAAGCCAAAAAACATAAAGCTCCTATCAACACCTCAAGATTTTAGAAAAGCCTCTTAACAGGCAATTTTAAATAGAGACTGGGTCCCACTATGTTACCCAGACTGGTCACAAACTCCTGGACTCAAGTGATCCTCCTGCCTCGGCCTCCTAAAGTGCTGGGGATCACAGGCGTGAGCCACTGTGCCTGGCCTGGGCAGTCGATTTTCAGGAAGCCGCTTATTAATGTTCAGATTCTTTTCTTCTCTCCCAGTACTTTGCAGATGCTGCTGTTCCCTCTGCCTGGAGATGTTCATCTGGCCTGAATCCAAAAGTCTGTCCAAGTCACTTCCCTTTTCCATGACAGAGTTACAACTATTTGTCTGTCCCCCTTCCCCATTAGAGTAAAAGGTCCCAAAGGAAAGCTCCATGCCATTAACTCACCACCTAATGATCCCCAACAACTAGTGGGCAAACCTGAAACACTTTTGTTGAATAATGTTTTCTTTAGCCCAGGGATTACAAAGTCAAAGGCTTACAAGGAGGAAGGACTAGCAGGTGTGCTTGGAGGAGACTCTAGCCAACTGGAGAGTAGCTGGTAAGAAGACATGACATGCTCTTACGGTGTTCGCTACTCAGATCCTCTCAGTTGAGTCCCATGCACGAAAGTGGGTCAGGTCTACTGTTGCCAGATCTTCAGCTCATTCAAAAGTTACCAGAATCCTGCATTTTCATGTAAATCTCCCGATTTTTAAAAATGTTGGCATCAAATTCAGAATGTTTTAACCAGCCATACTGTGTGGGCCAGGGAAAACAGGCCCCAAGGCCAGGTGAAGCTGCAGTTTTCAACTGCTGCCTTGGCCTCTCCCAGAGCCCCTTAAGTCCTAAGAAGGCTCAGTGAACACACTGGCAGTTGTTTCATCCCACTGGTTGAGAAAGACAGTCTTATCAAAGCAATGGGAGATTCTTACCAAAACTGCAAAGGAAAAAAATGTGATACCATGAAATTAGAAATTCACGGCATTTGAAATGAAAATGACTTATTTCTGTACTTCTGTAACTCACAAATTTAGCAGACATCATTTAGCCATATTTTTGTAGTGCAACAGATTTAACTCTGGAATTTCATGGTTTGTAAATCACTACGTGATACTAGCTATAACCATGAGAGATACTACAGGCAGTAAATGTTGATCTCTATTTCGTTTCTTGAAGTTTTGTGTGGTTCATTTTTAAAGTGAGATTCAGTTTCCTTAGCTATAGTCAAATGCACCCTTTAAACAACCCAAGAACTGTTATGACGACTGCTGTTATTATTTCAAATTTTACAATATTAGGGTTGTTAACAATTTTAGTCTGCATTAAGCTAACATTTGTTACCAAGCAATGCATTTATTTGGAAGGATACCAGTTACCAGTCATCAAAAGCTTTTGTATGTTGAAAATGTAATTTTAATAGTTAATTCTTCATCTTACATAGGAGCACAATAAAATACACCACAATCTGAAGAAACTCCAGAATTACGAGAAAAAGAGTGAAGAAAATTCAGATGGGCTACAATATCCATTACCTTAAACTGCAAGAGACAAGGTTCCAACCCAAGGTTAACATTTATGTATTTATGACTGGCTACATTTATGACTTAAAAATTACAAGAATCAGGAATTAGATATGGAGAGAAGTGGGAAAGAACAGTTTTGTGAGGGGAGGAATTCTGTCAATAAAGAAGAAAAATTACTGAATTCCAAATTAAAGAATAAAAGGAGCTCCCATAGCAAATACTAGAGGGATGAAAGCAAGAATCATTAATTGAGGACTTGCTACTCTCAAAGGAATAAACCTTTCTGATGACACACAAGTTGGATGCTTGAGATCTGCTCATCAGGTTTATAAGGAAGACTCACAAATGCCTCAGCAAATCCCAAATGATTATCAGATCAGTGTTTCTTAATAACACACATGAAAGGTTACAGATGAAATTTTCAGACAAGAACCAAGAAAAAGGTCATAACCCAAATTTTAGGCAAAAATGTGGCACAACTGTGAAAGTCCTACATGTCAGTCACAACTGCTATCTTTGCTGTGACTTTCCTGTACAGTAATTTTTAAACATTGTGGCAAGACACCAATGATCGTCTAATCGGACAACACAAACACATTTATTTCAAATTCCTAGGAGGTTAAAAAAAGGTCAGATACTGATGCTTTATGCATGCTCAGGGCCAGTTTATAAATACTCCATTCAGTACTATCTTAACACAAATCTGCATCAGTGAAAAGAAACTGGTGAAATCCACCTCTTGCCATTCAATTTGCCAGATGGTGAAGACCAAGACAGAATGTTCCATAGTTTTAATTTTAAAATACGATTGTCACATTGGGAAAATGAAATAAACACAGTAAAATAAACTGTACAAAGGCAAAGTAGAATAACAAAAAATATTTTACTAAAACATAAGATTTACAGAAGTTTCCAGACAAGCCATACAAAATGGTCACAAGCTTTTTTTGAAGGGGGGAATCTACACTTGACAGCAATGTTATTAGTGAGGGCTGTGATGTTTGTTTAATGTTCCCATTTTGGTTCAAACAATCAAGCTTGTCCATCTACAGCGTCTAAATAAAGTTAGACTTGGCTAGAGAGCATATTTTAAAGACCTGGTTAGCTGCTTTTAACCAATGCAATTAGATCACCAAAAAAGGGGGAAAGGGGCCCATAAAATTAAAAATAAAACTACCTCCCCCCTCAAAAAAAATAAAATAAAATAAAGAAAAACACCCACACCCCTGCAGCTAACCTGACAACTACCTTCATTCACAGTGCTTTATACTTAAACCAGGATGGGGGAAATGAATAAAAGCAGGGAGGGGCCACTGCTTTTAAACGTTTCACAACAATCCAGATGATACTTCTAGCCTCTGTTCATGCTTTATGACAGTGAATCAGGACAAGACATAGATTTGCTAATGTGCATTTAATCACCAAAGGACTGAAGATGTCTGGGCTTTTTTATTCTGTAATGTTTCTAAGACTGTGTCCATTAAATGCAAACAAAAAGGAGGAAGTCTTGGCAGAACAGGAGAAGTGATGCACACTTGATGATCGGATCAATTTAAATATTATTCATGGCATATAGCCTAGTCCATGCTCTAGCTGTAGACAGAAACAAACACACAATTATAATTTTACTTAGTTCAATATGTTACTTTCCAAACTATAAATGGCAAACAAACACTATTAAGTTAATTATGGAAATGTCATGCTGTAATCTCTTAAATTCATGCCTTTTTCTATAAATCGGATCAGGGCTGAAAGATTTTGTATACGTCCAATTACCAAAACACTACAATAAAATTCGTAAGTTTTAGAAAATTCAAGAGGTTCGAACCAAGTTGTCCATTTCTGGATACAAAATTCTCCCCACTAATTTTCTTAAAATCTGTAGCTGAAGCTTCTTGACTCCAAATTCTCTAGCCATAAACAGCTGAATACTTTAATCAAATGGGTTACAAAAACAGTTCAAAAGTTTTCCAGTGTTCTTTACATATAACTAGATAAATGGTACGCACTTAGTATTTGTTAAACCAGGTGTAGTTACAAGAGACTCCAAGATCTCCCAATTACAGGTTGTCTTTAAATTTGGGGGGTTCCCATAGCAGGCCATTTTGTTATAAGAGGTATTTACATACTATAAGCAGGATCTCACTCATTACAGTATTTTTTTTTCTATTTCTTTTCCTTGCCAAGAGAAACTTTAGAAAAGTTTAAGTGGCAATACAAATTTGTTTGTAAGAGTGGAAGTGGTGTGAAGGAGAATGAATATTAGATACCTGTTTCTATGGCTTGGGCTTCGTTGGTCTTCCACTGCTCCGCTACATCATTTGCTAATGGATCATCTGGATTGGGAGCACTTAACAAGGCCTGGATCGATAGCAGAACTGTGCGGATCTGCAGTGCTGGGGACCACTTATCTATGAAGGCAACAGGCCCAGTATGATGAAGCATGAAAAAACAGGCCCAGAACTGCTTCACTTCCCTCCCGCAGACCTCTCTGGTCTTTGTATATTTACATTCTAAACATGGAATGCTTAAGAGAAAAAGGAGAAAGCTTAATAATAGCATATGCTGATAAAGATAACACTTACCTTTCAAAATATCTAAACATATTCTTCCCAACTTGTCTACATTAGGATGATAAATTTTGGTCATGAAACGTACTTTAGGGGCTGCCATTGGGTATTCTTCAGGAAGGAATAGTTCAAGTTTAAAAGTCCCTCCCTCAAAGGGGGAATCTTGAGGGCCAGCAATGACCACATGAAAATAACGGGCGTTGCTCTCATCTGGTTCTGCTTTGATGCCAGGAACTGGTTCTGCCAGCAAACGCTGGGTTTCCTACAACAGAAAAACAAACACATTTGTGAAACAAATGTCACTTTACTAGACACCAAAAGTAAAATTAGAAAGTTCATCTCTTGGAAATAGGCATAATAGAACATCTCCAATCTTCCAACAGGATTTATTTTGCTTATAAAATGCAAAATTCAAAAAAATACCATTTAAATAATTACAACCAGCTGAATGCAACTGCAAGCAAATACCAATGATGGTGTCATACATTTTGGCTACAAATGTCTACAAATACGTTGATAATAAAATTAGGTTAATAAAACTGATATTTTACTCAAGTAAAATAAAGTAGCATTAGGATTACATAGGTAAGGCAACTTGCTCTAAACTCAACCAAAACCAAGCTATTTAAATTTAAAAAGTAAAATTGGGATTTTTTGGTGGTGTTTTGTTGTTTTGTTTTTGAGACAGGGTCTCACTCTGTCACTCAGGCTGGAGTGGAGTGGCAAGATCTTGGCTCACTGCAGCCTCTACCTCCCTGGACCCAGGCGATCCTCCCAACTCGGCCTCCGGAATAGCTGGGATTACAGGTGTGCACCACCACGCCCAGCTAATTTTTGTATTTTTAGTAGAGACGGTATCGCCCTGCTGGCTGGCCTCTGGCCTCAAGTGATCTGCCCGCCTTGGCTTCCCAAAGTGCTAGGATTACAGGTATAGGCCAACACACCCGGCCAAAAATTAGTTTTTAAACCCACTGAAAACTTCCCCTCTGAAAAATGTAATGGACTAAAGAAAGGAGATAAGAGGCCCAGGTACCTGAACAGGGCTAAAGAAATATATTTAACAATGCTGATTAGTCTAAAATTGACAATTAACTTCAGAGGAACCTTTAATACTCCCAACAAACATATCATTAGTTCTCTCTTTCATCATTCTCCCTCTCTCCTAAATAACTATATTATTCTTTCTCTTCTCTCTTCAAACCTCCAGCATCTCCATCCCCATCCTCACTTGTGGCTGATGTTCCTATTTCATGCTTCCTATTTCATGACAAGTTAGATACTTCCATCAGCTTCCACTGTAGCATTTGGACATTTCCCTGCATCTGCACCTATACGCTCTGGCTTTTCTCCTGTAGAGATGAAATGCCATGTACTCTTAGCTAGGGCCAATCGGTCTTCTTGAGCACTAGATCTTACTTATCTGTTTGAAATGTTTGTTCCTCGGTGCTGTAAAGAAATAGCACTTGAACATAAATTTACTTAGTAAGGCCATTTTTACTTCCTGCAGAAAGGGTACACTCGCCAGGAATTTTGCCACGAGAGTACACTGAACAAAGGAGACAGGGTCATTTATAACCTGACACGTCCACCCTACTGCTGTGTCTGGTTTCCATCGGCTCGAATGGGACCTCACATTCTATATTTATCCTGATTGGCTAGCAACTTAGAATTTTTAAAAGAAGTAAAGGTAGAGGGGAACACAGGAAGGAGGAAGCCACTTGTGGAATGCTGAGAAAGGTAAAAACACTTTTAAATAAGGAAGAGGAACAGGCTATAACCTACTGCTTGCTTGCAGCAGTATAAACATGCCAGGGCAAATATTTAGGCTAAATTGTGGGAGCTAAGAACATAAAGTATATTGATTTCTTTATTATGGTTAGCAGATATTTAAGAATGTTAGCACAGGTCTTTGAAGAAATTTTGCTTCTAAGAGAAGTTACTATTTATTCCTAATTAGATGGGGAGGAAAGTCTTTGAAGAGGAACCTCTACTTTACTTTTTTTTTTTTTTGAGACGGAGTCTCGCTCTTTGGCCCAGTCTGGAGTGCAGGTGGGCGATCTCGGCTCGCTGCAAACTCCGCCTCCTGGGTTCACGCTATTCTCCTGCCTCCGCCTCCTGAGTAGCTGGGACTACAGGCGCCCGCCACCGCGCTCAGCTAATTTTTTGTATTTTTAGTAGAGATGGGGTTTCACCATGTTAGCCAGGATGGTCTCGATCTCCTGACCTCGTGATCCGCCCGCCTCGGCCTCCCAAAGTGCTGGGATTACAGGTATGAGCCACCGTGCCCGGCCCTACTTTACTTTTTACATCTCCTTCTCAACTATTCAAGAACACTGAATAGCATCTCTTTCCTCTCCTGAATCATCAGTTCTCCCTTCTTTACTGGATCTTTCCCCAAACTACACAAACTTGCTGTTATGTTCCCATAAAAGGAGAAAACTAAACTTACCCCCACTCGCCCAAACAGCTACTGCTACTGCCCCTTGCTTTGCTCCTCTTTGAAGAGATCTGTAATTGCTCATCTCCAATTTCTCTCCTCCTCTTCTGTCTTGAACACACCCTTCAATCAAGCTGTAGTTATCACTAACTTGTTTGTTAACGTCACCAATGATTTCCACAAGGTTAAATCAAATGTCCAGTGCTTAATCTTTATCTTACTTGACCTAAATGCAACATCTTATCCAGCTGGTCTCCTTCCTCTTTGCAAAGCTTTATCTAACTTCCTATCACCACATTCTCATGGCTGTCTTCCTCCTTGTCTGGCAGCAGCTTCCTTTAGTTTTCTTGTTGGTTTCTTCCTATCTCCCACCGTGGCAACACTGAAGTGCACTGGGGCTCTGTCCTAGGGCTTCCTCTCTGTTTATACATTTCCACAGTGATCTCATGTAATGCAATAAATTTAAACACTAAATAGACTCTTTAAGCTGAAGCCTCCCCTAATTCATATCCAGCCCAGACCTCTCCCCTGATCGTGCCTCTTGCCTCTGTAACTCCCTACTCGATATATGCTCTTGAATGTCTAATAAGCATCCCAAACTTAACATGATCTCCCTACCCACAACCTTTGCTCCTCCCATAAAGACTTCCTCATGTCAGTTATTGGCAAACTCATCTTTCCAAATGATCCACCTTTTCCTTCATATGCCACACACATCTAGCCTGATTGTCAAAAAAAATTTTTTTTAAATACCTCAAATTCTACTCATGATTGGACTGTTTCTCACCCTTCCACTGCTACACCTCTGATCCAAGCAACCATCAGCTCTCACCTGGCATACTACAACACCCTCCTAACCTATTCTTCCTGCTTCTGACCTCACTACCTCCCTCGCAGGTCTGTTTACCCACAGACCCTTTAAGTCATAGTCCTGAGCCGGTGCGGTGGCTCACACCTGTAATCCCAGCAATTTGGGAGACTGAGGCGGGTGGATCGCCTCAGGTCAGGAGTTCGAGACCAGTCTGATCAACATGGAGAAATCTCATCTCTAATAAAAATACGAAAATACAAAATTAGCTAGGCGTGGTGGCGCATGCCCATAATCCCAGCTACTCAGGAGGCTGAGGCAGGATAATCGCTTGAACTGGAGAGGCGGAGGTTGCGGTGAGCACAGATCATGTCATTGCACTCTAGTGTGGGCAGCAAGACCGAAACTCCATCTCAAAAAAAAAAAAAAAAGTCATAGTCCTTGTAATGGGCCCCCAAAAGAGGCTCTATATGATGCCCTCACTCCACCCACCTCTCTGACTCATCTTCAGCTATTCTCCCTCCATCCCCTACCTTCTCTGTTCCAGACAAAAATTAGCTTCCTTGTAGTTCTTTAACCTGCCAGGCATCCTCTCACCTCAAGGGCTTTGCACTTGCTCTTCTTCCCCAAAATATCCATATGGCTTGTTCCCTCAGCTCCTAAGATCTTCATGTTTTCTCAGTGAAGCCCTCATAACTGAAATTGCAAACCCCATTCCACCCTATCCTGTACACTCCCTATCCCCACTCCCCAGCTTTATCTCCACAGCACTACTAACAAATCTCATTTCTACTTATTTTGTTCAGAATTTAAGCTCCATGAGAGGACGGATTTGAGTCTGTTTTATGGACTGCTATATCCTCAGCATTTAGATCACTGCCTGGCACAATAGATAATTCAATTAATATTTACTGAATTCTGAATCTCTTTGATGTTATAAAGAGAGGAAAATAAACTATCAATTTCATCGTTAACATCATTAAAGCAGGGTTATTTTCAAGGCAGGATGTGCACATTATGGAAGGAAAACAAAAGGAGCCACTCAAGTATGGGGAAAAATAGTCTAATTTTATTTATTTTTAACCAGAAAAATAATCATACTTAAATAAGCTTTTAGGTATGAAAAACAATAAATGAGAATATTTTATTTACACTGCCTTCACCTAAGAAAAATAATACATCTTAAACTGTTTCATTCCACAAGCTACAGGGCGTATGTTAAAAACAACAATAACAACAACAAACAACTTCTCTCTCAGCACAGTAATATACTGAAATAGTCATAAGATGTAAATACAAATCAAATGCTTCCCCAAAATGTGTTAATTAAACCCATGGCCATTTTAGGTAATGTCTCTGGTATTTTAAGACTAGTTTTTTGTTTTGATCATGGTAATATAAGAGCAAGTGAGAAACTGACATGTTCTTTAGGTTCAAACTAAAACATTTTTAGAGCATTAAAAAGCTCAAGAGGCAATAATGAAGCCTCTGACCTTGGGAAGTCCTTTAACATTGTGACCAGAACAAAAAAGGCTGGTCTTCATTTTTTAGGAAAAAGTTAAGATATTAGGGATGAACAGCAGGAGTAGAAGAATGAGAAAATAACTGGATGGTAAAATTCCTTGAATTCTGGGCTCTCCTCACCTCCATCCTTTAATTTTACCCCAGATCTTTATGTCTTTAGAAAGCCATAAATTGGTTGACTGGAAAAAAAAGAAAGCCAGGGCCCAAGAGTCCCAATCCACTACTCACCAGTTACACAAAGTAGTAGCAGCTCTATATCTACTATAAAAAGCTACAGAAGGGCCTCCAAAAGCATATCCCAAAATAGCTTCAAAATCACTCTCAGTGCACAGTGGCAGAGATAGATATGGCATTTACTTTCTCATCTTCAGTTCACCCTCAAAATCAGATATTCTTTGTCAAGAACGTACATATTAAGCACATCATGTGACCTGATCAAGCCTAGATTTAATCGGAACACATTCTAAAATAAGCTTTTGCATGTAGAAAACAT